TTAACAATTATTTCATCTAGTTCTTAACTATATTTTTAATTGTAATCCATAGTCCTATATATTTATATTTGTATTATTATTTATTATTCAATTTCTGTTGATTTTCTATTTATTCACATGTGTATACTTTGGTTTTTAAATAGTAGATAGGCAGGTCCACATCAGGACTTCAGTCTTGCGTATTCTGTAACCTGCGTTATCAAATAAACTATGTATGTATGTATGTATGTATGGAAGAGGTCATAACTTTCCCACTTGCTCTATCCAATTTATTATTGGAAGCAGGCAGAGCCGTTTGCACACTCACTATTGAATGACTGCTGGGGAAATACACTGCAGAAAATGGAGTCATGTCCAGATCACACAATTCAAACCTAAGGTTCATACAATATGCATCTTCTATAAACATATGTGCACTAAGAAGCCTCTTCAATTTGGGAAAATGTGGGATCAAGGGCAATTGCGATCAATGAGAAAGCCTCATTCAAGTGATTCAATAGAGGTATTTTTGTTGTAACTTTGTGCTATTTCAGTGTTAAGGCTTAACATTTTCAGGAGAAGCCATGGGAGCTGAAGAACCAGTTCTTAAGAACTGTCGAAAGACTAATCAAGCCATTGCAAAGAAAGAGACATGTCATCGGCACCGAGAAGAAAAAAGAATTGGGCTAGAGATCATATATTGTCAACAACATAAAATAGCCAGGAACAGTTAAATGTTGTGGGGAAAGCTTTCCCCACACTGGTGCATTTCAATACCATATAGAAAAAAAAACATGTGAAAAGTTTCCGATTTTGTCTTGGATTGGAGTAGATAATTCCGTTTAATCATATAGCATTAAAACTTATTGTCATTAATTGATAAGCATGACTCTCGAGGGACAGTTAGTTATGTTTCATTGTCAACTTAAATGATGCATCACCCCATGTAAAGGAATCCAAGGATGTCTCAGATCTAGGATTCCAGGAAGTGGATCACACCTAAGGTTCATACAATATGCATCTTCCATAAACATATGTGCACTTAGAAGCCTCTTCAATTTGGGAAAATGTGGGAACAAGGGCAATTGCGATCCATGAGA